GTAAACACAAAGGAGATCCTGCCACAAAATGATTTCTGCAAAGTCAGAGTATGGTGAAGCCACACACAGGTAGACTATGGCTAGTTCTCTATGCTGCTTTATTACCTTCTTTGCTGCTCCTGTTCTCTGGCAGCTGTGACTCACACAGGCCATGGAGCGCTGCATTTTCTGACAGAGACACGGCTCCAATATTCTTCCGGCCTTTATCTACCGGGGCCGTCTGCCCCAGTTTTGTGGGTGCTGACTGGTTTGTGGTCACTGATTGTGATACCAACGGACATTTATCAACTTTCAAATGCTCGGCTCTTTGACCAGCCTCATTTTGGAGGCTCAAACTAGTAGCAACCCAGTCTGAAGAACCTGAAAACAAAGTTTCCACTTATTAGAATGTGAATAACAATACAAACTTGACTAACTTTTATGAATTCTCTTCCCAGAGCAGCAGCCCCACATCCGCAGTCCCACGCCCTCCTCTCCCCCAAACACACTGCTCCTTCCCAGCTGGTTGTACTTTACATGTCATTGCTGTTCATATAGGGAACCACTGTCTCTCTTTTTTCTATACCAATAATAACATCTGCCTTATTTATGTCATCTTTCAATTAAATTTGAAGAAATAAAAGGAATTAGGAATAAGAAGACTGTACTTCTTTTCAGAGTTAAATTTGTATTGCAAAATTTACCTGATTTGAATGTTTGAAAGTTCTTCATTTCTCCTGTTTTCTTAGGAACAGAATCTTTCACTCCACCTGCAGGCTGAATGGTTTTTGAAACAAACCGATTAATAATGTACATTTGATAGAATCTGTAGTAATCATTCAAGGGGGGAGGGTCTACCTCAGTGGTAGAGTGCCTGCTTAGCAGTGCATGAGGTCCTAAGCTAAATTCCCAGTACCATCATTAAAAAAACAAAATCAAGATTAAAGTATAAAAGTTCTTACCTTCAAGTGAGGATATTTTTCAGTAGAATCTAAAAGCCAAAAGGGACACAGAATCAATTATACGTAAATATGAAAGCCAACTACCCATTCACGCAGAGTTAGTACTGAGCGCAATCTTCGTGCTTGCTTTGGAAATGAACACGTTAGGCTTCGGTGTTTTGTTTTTCAGGGGCAGTTAGGACAGCAACAAGACAGAAATATGAACCCATTATAGATACTCAATAAAGAACAGGAATATAGGTTTAACAAAACATGCAGTTAAGATTTCAAAAGTACGATTATGTTTCAAGTGACTTATTTATAAAATAGAACGTGTACATATACCAGTGTGAACATGCTGCCTGAGGAGGAGAAAAGCGATCTCTAATCAGAGAAACAAATCACGGCTCCAAGAAGACAAATGTGAAAGCTGACCGTAAAATGCAACAGCACATCTTTAATGCGACTGACACCATTACACTACAAGTACTTATCATGCTCTTCAATTCGTCCTGTAATTTAGGAAGTCCACAGTTGTGATGGCAGTTCATTTGAATGTGCAATTCACTTCTCATCAGAGAAAGTGTTATGAACTGATCGGCTTGGATACACACTTGTAGAATAATAGTTCATAAAAATATTTTTCCCATACCCACATGGGCTATTGGTATGCCTACATTTCTTGGATCCTCTAGCCGTCAAAGTTTCCTGATCCACTCACGCAAGAAAAAATGTATACTGAGTTTTCAATATTGAAATCTGGTGATCAAAAACAACTTTAATTGCCACAGAATTATTAGATATTAAAAGTCTTTTATATTTCAAAACCTGTGCAGTATTCACTGAAAATAACAACTTCAGCATTTATCGAATGAACCCTATTAATTTCTTTTCTTTCCAAAATTAGTTTGGTTTGGTAAATCAGGCTAATGTTTACAAGGATTTTTGTGAAACAACTATCTTATCAAAAAATTAGGTATCCTTAAACAAACAAACAAAAAGCACAGTCAATGCTTCATATTCAAGTTAATCTCATTTGAATAACAAATACCAATACAACATTTATCTTTGAAGCCTGATAGGAGGAGAGGCTGTGGTTTACCCCAATTCTAGGCCCTCTCCTGATTCCAGTATTCTCTGGAGTGGCAATGATCTAACCTGGCTTCAGTGCAAATACACTGACGCCATCGAAAAGGAGTTCTCTCACGTTTCCTCCTCAATTCCAAAATCACCTCCCTGCTGCCTTTTTTCCCTCCTTCCTTTCACTTTCCTCTTCTAAGGTACCTCTACATCTGTGGTCTTAATTCTTCCCCTTTTCTATTCTTCTGACAGATGATCCCCACCATTTCTTTTTCCTCTCTGCTTAGCAGCAGTAGCTTACATCTCTAATTTCTACTTCAACTCCTCGCCTCCCTCTGGCTATGAACGTGCTCAGAAAGAAAAACAAAATCATGCTTTTCCTTGTTGCTGTTGTCTTTAACTCCCCAGTGGCTCTTCTTCCAGATTCCCCTAAACACAAGCCTACCCTCTGAGCGTGATCTGAAGACCAGCAACAAGGGCATCACCTGAGAGCTTGTTAGAAACGCAGACCCACTGCTCGGAATGTGCACTTTTCACTGGGTCCCCAGGTGACTAAAATTTGAGAAACTCCGGTCTATACCGAGTCTGCTTCTATAGCACTCGGACTTAACTGATCCCTCTGAAACAGCCGCACGCGTCTCACTGTAACACTTCCCCAAAAGCTGCATCAGGATTTGCAGACTTTTCAGTGGCCTCTTGACCAGGTTCCAGCTCCCCTGACCTCCCCGGAACGCACCCTGCTCTCCACCTCTTTCCCACTCTTCTCTTGGCCTATGAGACACCATCCTATAAGGCAGCAACACGCTGCGTGACACGAAGGTCCAGACATTGACAGCTGACCACACATGCCTGTGCTCACCGGCAGCCACACCCAGCTCTGCGTGATCACGTACCGCAGTCCTCACTGCCTTCCTAACGGTCAGGGGGACGGGGGAGTGGAACACTCTGCTGTGCCTCCCGGACAAGGTTTGGTGCTGGAAGAAGCTC